ATTTCTCTCTCTCTCTCTCTCTCTCTCTCTCTCTCTCTCTCTCTCTCTCTCTCAAATGTGCACACATACACACACACATCAAGCCAACTAGAGAAAAAGGAGATTTGGTCACTTTTAAGGACAAGCGGGCTAACCTAGATTTCGCGGCTTCCAAAAATCTTGACCTACGCGAAATGTGGGCATTGCCCTTCCTATATGATTTCATTGGTTTCGTTGGTGTGTATATTTCTTTGGTTATAGAGAAAAGTCTTCGTCTTTTAAAGAACCGAACAAGGGGGAAAACTTTACCTTTGATTTTCTCAAAACGGCATTTTTCGGGATTGTCCCCTTGTACTTAAAAGCGACCATCTAGTATAGGTATCCATTCCAAATAATTCTTTGTGGTTTTATATGTGGTGGAAGATTCATAAAAAAGCTTTAGCACTAAAACAGTTCATGGGTCCATCCCAATGTCATTTGTTGTCCTTTCTCACTTTCTTTCAGCGATAGCCGCAGTCCTTCTTCAGAGTCCAGCCGCTCTAGTCCTGGCAGGAATCGATTTGGCAAAAACAGAAACCGTGGTGCAAAAACCCCGAGAGGGCGCGGTCGCGGCAGGGGAGGCAAAGATGATGCTGGTGTCTCAGACAGTGGAGGACTATCCCTCTCTACCAAGAGGAACAAAAAGAAAGGGTGGGCATTTGTCACAGTCAAAAGCTTCTTTTTGTTGAATATTTAGGGATCAGTCATAAATCGTAAATGTTCATGTATATGGTTATGGTTAAGATTCTTTCTGCAGTGGTTTATTGAAGAAAGCAGTGATCGGCCACCTTATTGATCTGAGCCTTTTCTATTGGTAAAGGATGAAGATGAATCTGCTGTTGAGCGAATGGTTATTTATGGCCAGTTGTCTTTGCACATTTGTTGAGTGTGTGCTGGTTTCAGTCTTTGAATTTTGTTGAAATAGTGATTTTAAAAAAATGAATAGCTACCCCCCGGGGCGGGACCACTGACTGAAGTGTCTTTAGGCCATTCCCAAAGGGGGGACATTTCACGTTCTAACAATATCATGCTCATAACTGTGCCTGAACTACAACAGGGAACTGCTGCTTTTTCTTTCCTAATCCTTACTGTCTTTTTATTTTACTCTACTTCTTTTGTATGTTTGTCATACTCTTGTGACCGGCTATTTTCGGGGTGCCTTGATAGTGGAAGCAGACTTTGTGCTGCTGAAGCTAGAGAGGTGAGCAGAGTAAGTCTGATTCCCTGAAAGGACTTCTTTGTTGACATCCACCCCTTGGCGCTCATATGACCTTATGCAGTTGCGAGCGCCGTAAAACCTCTGCTAAAACGTAAATGAATAGCTGTGCTCTTTTGCTTATTTTTTCTCTCTCTTAAACCAAAATGCATCTTTTGTTTACAGTTGGACGTGTGGCTTTTGTGCAAGATTGTTTTTTGGTTCAAATTTTTAAACATTTTTTTTCTTTTGTTCCATTTGAATGATATTTAATGTCAATTTTATCTTTTGCTCATGGATTTGTTCAATCAGAAATCTAAAATTCACCTATGATGATCCAATGAAGAAAGCTCGCATGCAGATTAGAGCTGCTCGTTTTGCTGGGGAACTTCAGAAGCCAAAAGTGAAAGCCACAATCTCCATCAACGATTCCATCAACTCTGTAAGTGTGTAACATTGAATGAAGGCTTTATTGTTTGATTACTGTCATTGTTGATTCGTTGTTGGTAGCAAAATGGGACTGACTGGTTTTTGATGCACATATTGTTTTGTCTGTATTTTTTTTGGTTGGATTGTGTCTCTAGGTTCTAAATGGCTGCAATATTCTGCTGGTTGTCTTTTTTTTTTTTTTATGCTGGGAAGTTTGTTCCATTCAATCAATATACAGGTTCCTTATTTAAATCTCTTTCACTATCAAGTGGGTATAAGAATGTAATGTATACCAAAGGTCTATTCGAATTGCTTTTATTTTAGAATCATGGCTTTTCTCTCATTCCAGAGCTATAAGGATGATGATGTAGATCTGTCTGAGTTTTCTGTTGTTGGAATGTGTCAAGACTTGGAGAAGCCATACTTGCGCCTGACTGGGGTAAGTGTACTCATTGGCTACTAAGTACTAAGTTTGATGTTCAGGAAAATCTGTTTTCATCATTTGTTGTCTAATAGTTTAACTGACCATCCAATGGAATCACTTTGTCAGTTGGAGTCAAAATGTTGCAGCATGTACTTTCCAATTCTCATTTGCTGATGCTGTAGCAGCTTCTGTTTTTTTTTCCTATCTTGTCAATACATTATGTACTTAGTTCTTTTCATTCTCAAAGTTAGTTTTTGTTTTTGTTTTGCATCAGTTTATACTGTTGGCCTTCAGATATAGGTCATTTCAGAGACAGACGGGTTAGATGCAACAGTATAAGTAGTGGCACCTGTAAACCGCTTCTCTGCATTGTTTTGTGGACAGAGACATGTCAGGTGCCATACAAACATTCTTGTTATAATGGTGTAACGAATGATTTTGTAATTTCTAAGTCATACTTTATGTGATGCTTCTGTTACTGATATGTTCATAAGACCTTAAAAGTATCACCAGGAAGGTACTTACTCTGCATTACCCTCTTGAAATATGATTGTATGTATAT